TCCATTTCCAACTGGCACCTTACTGGTCTCGTGGGACGTGGTTTCAATGTTCCCTAACATCGATAACAAACTCGGCCTCACTGCAGTAAGGAAGGCTTTGAATACTAGAGAAAACAAATTTCCATCCACGACTTGTATTTTAGAAGCCGTAAAAATTTGTTTGAAAAGCAACCATTCTGTTTTTAAAGAGAATTTCTTTCTTCAGATCCATGGCACAGCTATGGGTCCGAAGAATGCTTGTAGCTATGCCGATCTAGCCATGGGCGAAATTGATCACAAAGCTAAGTTTTCTGGTCCGATAAAGCCGTCCTTATGGTGGCGATATCGAGACGATGTATTTGATCTCTGGCAGCAGGGCCTTCCTGCCCTACATCAATTTACTGATTACATCAATTCTCTGTATCCTACTATTAAGTTTGAGCTAGTTTTTTCTGAGCGTGAGCTCCACGTACTTGATCTCACTTTACATCTTATCGATGGATTTATCAGGACAGACGTCTATTCCAAACCTACAGATAGCCATTTATATCTTCCGCCTTCCAGCTGCCATCCTAAGCACGTTTTCAAGGCTATTCCTTTTGGAGTAGCGACAAGATTAAAAAGAAATTGCTCTGAAGAAGTATTTTTTTGCCGAGAGAACAGCTGAGTACAAAGAGTACCATGTTAACCAGGGTTACCCTTCTAAATTAGTTTCTAAACAATTCTCCAAAAAGAAAAGCAAGAAAAGAAAGAGGGGACAAAAGGACAGAAACATGGAAAAGAAAGAAAATGCTATCGGTGTGGTGGAACTGGTCATCTTGTACAGGACAAGAGCTGTCCAGCATTAGACAAGACTTGTAATAGATGTGGTAAAGGTGGTCACTTGGCAGCTTGTTGCAAGACAAAGTTAACCAAGAAGCCTAGCGGAAGACACCGTTCAGAAGGAGGTAATAAAGTCTCAAAAGAGAAAGAGGAAGAAGGTAACTATGCGTTTGTGTTGGACACGAAGAGTAGTAAGAGCTCGAGTGGTGTTGTTGATTCGTTTGCTGGAGGTGTGCAGTTAAAGAATGTCCTGATTGACTCGGGAGCAACATGTAACATTGTGGATCGTGCTACGTGGGAGTCTTAAACACGAAGGAGTGAAGTGCAAATCCCGAAAGTGTGAAAAAAAAAGCTGTTTGCTTATGGCAAAACCCAACCAATCGACATTGTGGAACTTTTGGAAGTGAAACTCATTCTGAAGAGTCTGGAGAAAAGTGTGTGGATGAGTTTACTGTTGTTGAAGGTCGTGGTAAGGCTCTGCTGGGAAAGGATGCAGCTGAGAAGCTGAATGTGTTGAGAGTTGGACCTCCGAACTCACCACAAGCATGCTCAATCACAAGTGAAGGAACTTCTGTAGACATTGTTAGGAACTTTGCTGGTGTTTTTCTGGAGTGGGTAAATTGAAAAATGTTCAGCTTAAGTTGCATGTGAACAAAGATGTTAAGCCTGTTGCACAGTCTGTCTAAAGGTTACCCTTTGGTTTAAAGACAAAGTTGACAAGACACTAGATGAATTTCTTAAAGAAGACATCATCGAGGAAGTGCCTAGTGGTCCAACAGAGTGGATCTCATCTCTGGTGGTAGTATCAAAACCTGATGGAGACATACGAGTCTGTGTCGATATGAGAAGAATCAACGGGGCAATCAAAAGAGTAAGGCACCCTATTCCAACTATTGAAGAGGTTCTATATGACTTAAATGGGTCAACAGTGTTCAGTAAATTAGATTTAAAGTGGGGCTTCCTCCAGGTGGAACTTGAAACTAAATCACGTCGTATAAAAACCTTCATTACACACCGAGGTCTTTTTCAATACAAGAGGTTAACGTTCGGAATTACCTCAGCTCCTGAGAAATACCACAAAATCGTCAAAGATGTGTTGATTGGCTGTAAAGGAGTTGCAAATATTGCGGACGACCTGATCATCCATGGATGTGGAATCAAGGAGCATGATGAGAATCTGCTAGCTATTCTGTTCCGTCTTAGAGAACGTGGATCGACGCTAAATGAGAAGAAGTGTCAGTTCAGACATCCAAAATTAACATTCTTTGGACATTATTTAAGCAGTAAAGGAATCGCTCCTAGTGAAGAGATAGTGTCTGCTGTTCAAAATGCCAAGCCTCCACAGAGTACCGCAGAGGTCAGATCTTTCTTAGGCCTTGTACAGTAATGTGCCAAGTTCTTGACAGATTTTTCCCAAGTTGCCGAGCCGCTCAGAATGCTGACGAGAAAAGACCAACAGTTTACGTGGGAAGATGCTCAGCAGAAATCCTTCCAGAAACTAAAAGATCTGCTAACCTAAGCAGAAACACTTGCTTACTTCAAGAACGAATGCAGGACACGCGTTGTTGCTGATGGTGGTCCCACAGGCATAGGAGCTGTCCTCACCCAGCTACAAGATGGCCCGTGGAGAGTAATTTCCTATGCATCAAGAAATCTTACTGATGTGGAAAGGAGATATTCACAGGCGGAAAAAGAAGGCCTTACCTTGGTATAGACCTGTCAGCGATTCAAACTGTACATTTTTGGTCGAGCGTTTGAGTTGGAGACTGACTATAAGTCTTTGCAGTGCATTTACAACACTTCTTCAAAGCCGTCTGCACGAATAGAACGACGGGTCCTTCGCCTACAGGGTAACAGCTTCAAAGCTATCTATCGCCCTCGTAAGACAAACATCGCAGATACTCTCTCAAGATTAAATTCTGTGAATTAGAAAGATTGCAGTGGTGAGAAAGCCGACCTCGTTAGAGTACTTACACAATAAAGTACACCAGTAGCTATGACCGCAAAGGAAGTAGAAAGAGAATGCGCGAATGATCCTGAACTGTGTAGTGTTAGACACTACATGCAGAGTGGTGATTGGTCACAGTGTAAAATGCCTCACTACTTGAGTGTGAAAAATGAAGTTTGTGTGCTAGGAAAACTAGTGATGCACGGAACAAGGATTATATTTCCCGAAAGCCTCAGAAGTGAAGTATTGCGCTTGGCACACGAAGGCCATCAAGACACTGTGAAGATGAGGAATTTGAAAACTTCCTGGCTACACATGGCATCCAGCACCGGAAATCTCCACCCATTTGGCCTCAAGATAATGGCAAAGTGGAGCGCCAAAACAGAACTTTACTAAAATCACTCAAGATAGCTGAAGTAGAAGGCAAGAAATGGAAAGATGAATTGCACAAATTCTTGTTGGCCTATAGAACCACCCCTCACAGTAGCACAGGGGAAACCCCAGCATTCCTTATGTTTGGAAGGAAAATGAAGACAAAGCTTCCAGAGTTGCGTCCAAACAAAAGTGTTCTGGATGAGAGCACGAGAGATCGTGAGTGGAATCAAAAGCTTGCAGGCAAAATGTATGGTGACAAACAACGGCATACTATCGACAACCCAATTGCACCTGGAGACAAGGTTCTTCTCAAGAACACCAAGCAATCTGGAAAGTTAGCTGCAAATTTAGAGCCCAATCCTTACACTGTTCAGACAAAGGAAGGGCAAGAACTAACCTTGAAATCGACCGATGGTACAGTGCAGCGGAGAAACAGCT